TATATATATATATATATATATATATATATATATATATATATTTATATATTAAAAGTGTATATAAATATAAATAAATATAATTATGTATAATTATTTATATATTATATGCGCGGTACTTATTAGAAAGCGCTGAATTTTTTAAAAACATTAATCAGTTTGTCTGACGATCGCTAAAGCGTGAAACCCAGGGTCACAAACTCACATCTATCCAACCAAATATATATATATATATATATATATATATATATATATATATATATATACGGAAACCTCACCATCAAAGCTTTTGAAAAATCTTGGATTAAAAATAAATACACTAACTCTTTACGCTGACACACACGCATACATACATACGTGTTTGTATGTGTGTGTGCAAAGAATTAGCGGATTTATTTTTAATCCGACCTTTTTACCATTTCAAACGTTATGAGTGAGTCCTCCATTTTTTAAATGGATGGCACATTACTACTTATTAAACATTGTTCATTAAGCCTGTCGGCCGAGGAATCTTTGTATAGAAAAATGCGTCCCAGTTTTATGCAGTGTGCTTTACCGCCCGGCCACAGAGAACGACCTAGTAAGCTTCTATTTTCCCTTCATCAGGAAAGCACATCCTCTTCACTCTTTTCTCGAAAGCTTCATATTTGCTTATTTTCGTATCCGAAACGTAAATAAAACAATTTTAAAAGGATTAACGGTTTTGTTCCTCATTCGCAATGCAGGAAAAGACTTATCGATAACACCAAGATAATGCACCACGAAAATAATAAACAAAAACTATAAATTTTCGACGCCCACTAAATAAAAATCAGCCAACCAACACTCAACAAAAATTTATAACGAATATAGCAGCAACATATTACAATTAATACCAGTTACATTTCTAATAAATTCCAGCCGGCTCCCTTATAGAGAAACGCTTGTTTTGCAAATAATTCTATGGCTAAAGCGGAAAAATTTTAAATTTTAAAATAATTATAAAGCGCGTCGTGCGTACTTAAAAAAATAAATTAAAACATCATCACAACGGAATGCAGATTTTTTCGCAGTTACAATAGGGTTGTCTGTGTAATTTATCCCTGAAGATGATCTTGGAAAAGATCGAAAGTACTCGGGTTAACAATAACTCCGGTGCCTTCCTTGCTGAAATTCATATTAACATCAAGAAAGTGATTAGACAACTGGAAAGGATCAGTATAAAAATAAGTAGACACAATATATCTATATTATTCAATGAAACATGTTTGAATAAAAATATGCTTATATATATATATATATATATATATATATATATATATATATGTATATATACATACATATACATATATGCATACATGAATATATATATACATACATATATATGTACATACCTATATATACATATATATATACACACACACACACACACATATATATATATATATATATATATATATATATACATGCCTACCTAGACGACTCACTTTATATCTACCTAAACCCGAAATCAATCAATTCGTACTCATTTAAAAACAAACGAAAACCTACCAACCTCAATCCAAGACATACTAATATAAAATTACAAGTATGATAGCATCATCACGAGTAAAAAATAAAATAAAAATAATGGGAGCCCTAATAATAAAAATAGGAAAGCAGGGACAAAATAACATTAAGTACGAACACGGCCGAAGATTGCTGACCGTGTTTGGAAAATAAAACAGCCCCATAACTTCAAACACATACAGAAAAAATCACACACATTCGATCGGTCATGCAGAACTTTTGGACAGTTTTTAGATACTTTTACGAACACAAGAAAAATCTTAATCGCAGTACCTTGTCAGTCGGCTTTAAGCAAACCTGTATAAAAGAAGGATTTCTGCCTATATATATATATATATATATACAAAGAATAATCACACATAGAATTAATCAGAAGTATCAATGCGATTATTGGCGACATCCATCGCTAGAAAACATAATATATGCATTAAAAATCCTGTTCATGCGAGTTTTGATCCTTGAAGAAAAACTTGTTGTCTGTAGTTTTTCAGTTTATTTGATGTTAAAATGCTAGTACTTACGGACAGTCTTCCATCCATCATCAGGCATGTGTTTTTTTTCCTTATAAAATCAAAAACTTGAGACGATATACCTGTATGTCGACCGAAAGATGTTTTTTGAATATCTGCTATTATTGGCGGTTGTAAGACAACAAGTTTTTCTTCAAGGATCAAAACTCGCACTATGGATGAACAGGATTTTAATGCATATATTATGTTTTCTAGCGATGGATGTCGCCAATAATCGCATTGATACTTCTGATTAATTCTATGTGTGATTATTCTTTGTATGTAAATCATATGCTGCCTAATGTTTTATGTTTATTAAAAACTATCGATCCGCAGTACATAAAAAAAATTCCTATAAAAAATTACTACTATGACATTACACTATATTATTGAACTATATACTTAGTTCATGACATAAAAACTGAATACACTTGTAAAAATAGAATACGTGGATTTAACACATCACAAGAAATATTTAAATAAAATTCTCACTTAAAAAATTTTGAAAAACTTAGCGTTGCGTCTTTGCACGTTCCGATATCTTACAACCGTCAATAATAGCAGATATTCAAAAAACATCTTTCGGTCGACATACAGGTATATCGTCTCAAGTTTTTGATTTTATAAGGAAGAAAAACACATGCCTGATGATGGATGGAAGACTGTCCGTAAGTACTAGCATTTTAACATCAAATATACTGAAAAACTACAGCCAACAAGTTTTTCTTCAAGGATCAAAACTCGCACTATGGATGAACAGGATTTGAATGCATATATTATGTTTTCTAGCGATGGATGTCGCCAATAATCGCATTGATACTTCTGATTAATTCTATGTGTGATTATTCTTTGTATGTAAATCATATGCTGCCTAATATATATATATATATATATATATATATATATATATATATATATAATGTGCGTGCGAATGCGGACTTTTTAATTTTTTTTATTTCCCAAAATAGAAATAGATTCTAGTGACTTGAATTAAAATCAATGTAAAACTTTATTGAAAGAAGTTTATAAAAAGCTTTTACTGAAATATAAACCAATGAAAAGTATTGAATGTTTTTTTTTTCTAGTTAGTTACAAGACGTCACTTAGCCAATAAAATTTACCTACGTTTAAGCGTGTAGCTGTGCAGAATTCGAATAGCGATACACAATGATAAAATAGAAAAAAAAAGAAGTGTTCACAATTGTGGTTTGTGTTGGAGAAAGTTAATGAGGACAGTAAAGAAAATGGATTGTCTCTGCCAAATCTATTTCTTATTTGTTGGCTTTGACTTCTCGATTTTTTTTATTTGAATAAGAGTCGGTTTTGTTTGGCATCACCTGTACCATCTCACTCTAACTTGGCCAGAAAATGGAGGGAAACTTGAAGTATATCGGTGTTAAAGGGGGAAAAAAACCCAGTGATTTATGAATCGAAGATCATTCCACCGTCAACAAATGTTTATTTTCCAGGAATCTGTATCTGTATTGTTGGAGAAGGCGACATATATTGTTTTTGCTTCGACACGTTCGTACAATGATGCGATTTTGTTTTGGACCCCAATCGATATTTTCATAATGTCATAATAATACTTAACTTTCGGTGGAGCGAATGTCAGGTTGATTGAATTAAATGTAGGTTACTAAATTCTGAGAGTCAAGGTGATAAACAATGAAAGAAAATAAATGAATATAAAAGAGGAAACACTAAAGAATGAAAAAAACAAAAAAAAAAACAAAAAGTGTTCAAGATTATAAAACAAGAAATAACTGTGAAAATACGACGGTTTTTATAGATTAATTTTCTGAAGAATTGTTTCATGTACACTATTTACATCATTCGGACTATCATCCTCATCTTTGTTGCCATATTTATTACAACGTTTCGGCCGTTGTACGCTCCGGCCTTCTTTAGGTGGTTGGAATGTCGAACTGCATACTTTATTTCACTTGCTGGGGTAGACTGTTTTAGTTCCACGTGTCATGTTTAATGGACGTCAGTTATCTCCTGTTAATTCCCCTCTCCAAGTTATCCACCGCCTTAACCAGGTATTGAACTCACACTCTTTGGGTCCTGTCACTGGATCTAACTAATGCCTTTATCCATTGTGCCATGTGTCCTTGAGAAGAAGGCCGGAGCGTATAACGGCCGAAACTGTGTGATAAATATGGCAACAAAGACGAGGATGATAGTTTGAACTATGTAAATAGTGTACATAAGACCTCATCTCAGAAATATAGACAATTATAATTCATATTAATCTATTCGTTGAATCAGCTGCTACGAACAAAAATACTCCTAGAAATTCCCCTTACTGCTTCGTTAAACATTGGATCATAAAACAAAAACAGTCATGAATATTAAATTATAAATAAATATGTTAAAGAAATGTAAAGATTGAAAATGGCGTAGGTTTTTTCATTTCACTGAAGCAGAAATGCTGGAGGGCGTTATAGCCTCCTCTATTATTATTATTATTTTCTTTTTTTTTTTTACAAAAGGTCCAACCTGTACAACGCCGGGGGCCACACGAGGTAGAGAGATACAATAAGGGGTAGTTTATATGGATAGGAGGGGAAGATAACGGTTAACTCTAGACATGGGCAGGTTAAGATTGTAGTGATGGGGGAATCATTTTCATGGGTGTCTGATCCACAGGACGTTGGTTCGTAGGAAGAAGCTGTTTGAGTGGAACCTACTTCTCTCGCCCAATGAAATACGGAGGGAATATAGGTGGTTTACTACAATGTAAGTAGTATGGAGGTATCTAGCCGTGAAGATCAGACCTGGTGGAACCAAGGAACGTTGTTCGTCCGAGCATTTTCCATAGAAGGAGCGATAGATCAGCAAGAGACTCGTTACTTCCCGTGAGAGAGAGAGAGAGAGAGAGAGAGAGAGAGAGAGATATTGAAGGTAGGGGTATAATTCTTCTCCAACAAGAACTCGGAGATGTTTTTGAAATATCTTTCTTTCTTTCTTTTCTTCTTTCTTTCTTTTTTCTTCCTTTCTTTTCATTGTCTTTCTTTCTTTATTTCTGTCATTCATTTTCTTTCTTCATTTCCATTTTCTTTCTTTCATTCCTTCTTTCTTTCTTTATTTCTCTCGTTCTTTCCATTGTCTGTCTTTCTTTATTTCTGTCTTTCATTTTCTTTATTTCATCTACTTTCTATTTTCTTTTCTTTCTTTCTTTCTTTCATTTTCTTTCTTTCTATTTTCTTTCTTTCTTTCTTTATTTCTGTCTTTCATTTTCTTTCTTTCATCTTTCTTCCTATTTTCTTTCTTTCATCTTTCTTTCTCTTTTCTTTCTTTCCATTTTCTTTCTTTTTTTTTTCTTTCTTTCTCTCTTTCCATTGTCTTTCTTTCTTTATTTCTGTCTTTCATTTTCTTTCTTTCATCTTTCTTTCTATTTTCTTTCTTTCTTTCATCTTTCTTTCTAATTTCTTTCTTCATTTCCTTTTTCTGTCATTCCTTCTTTCTTTCTTTCTTTATTTCTGTCTTTCTTTATTTCTGTCTTTCATTTTCTTTCTTTCATCTTTCTTTCTATTTTCTTTCTTCCTTACATCTTTCTTTCTCTTTTTTCATTTCCATCTTCTTTCATTCCTTCTTTCTTTCTTTCTTTCTTTCTTTCTTTTTTCTTTCTTCTTATTATATATGCTTTCTTTTTCTCATTTTCTTTCTTTCCGTTTTCTTTCTGTGTCTTTTTCTATCCATTGTCTTTCTTCATTTATTTTTCATTTTTTTCTTTCATCTTCCTTTCTATTTTTCTTTCTTCCTTTCCATTTTCTTCTTTTCCATTTTCTTTCTTTCTTCTCATTATGTGCATTCTCTTTTCTCAAACCAAAAAGGGTCTCTCATATATGTTTTCCGCGCAATAAAAACGGAATGGTCCATTATTTATTAGAGTTGATGGGATTGCGTAACGTGCTAACTTATTGACGGAGAATAAATAATCAGTTAGCCATGTGCCATAATTTGATACATGACTGGTGAGGCAGACATTTTTCCCGCAGTAGATTCTTTCTAGGCTATTTATCCATAGCTGGGGGGAGAAGAAGAGGATTCATACCTTTCCCAAGGGTATCAGCACGTAAGTGAATGTAATGGATTCGACTGGAATTCGAACTCGGCTCTCCGATTCCTCAATCCGAGCTGTTACCACTATTCCACCCTGCCACCCAGGAGGTATAAGAAACAGGTACGTTTATATATAAAAAGAACTCAAAGCGGATATATATATATATATATATATAAAATATATAAAATATTTGCAATAGATAAAGGATATATATATAAGGGGATATATATATAACATATATTGATTGAATATTCAACAAAATACTAAGAAAATAAATTAAAAAAAAGCAAGCTAAAAATTGGTAAAGGCAAATTAAAAAAAAAATAATTCGACCTTTCATATTGAAAGATTACGACCATAAATATTGAAACACCAGTTACCGTACGATCACAGATGTTAAGCAAGGTCGATCCTGGTCAGTACCTAGATGGGTGACTGCTCGAGAATACCAGGTGTTGTAAGCTTGGGTGATGTGCAGAGGTTAGAATAGACAATAGCTCGGAGTTGTTAATCTAAGAGCCGAGTTTCAACTCCAGATGTATCCATTTTTAATTCACTTAAGCGCAAATACCCTCGGGTTAAGTTACGAATCCTCATTTTCCTCCCCGCTTATGCGTTAGTTAATTAAAATTTTATCACTATATCTCATTATTATTTTCAAATATAAAATTGCGCACAAAATATATAGATTTCAGCATTAAGTCGCCCATAGACGTCGATATGCGGCTAAACGAATACAACCAACCAATATCGACTTATTTGTTTTCAAATTTGAAGCACTATTCAAAAGAATTCTAAAAACAATCACATACATAAATAATAGTAAAAAGAAAAGAAAAAAGTATTAATTAGTTTGATGGACAAGTAGATGTTATTTACTACCAAAGACGATTTCGTTTGCTTTTACCCCTGGTAGACATATATCCAGCTATAGATTAAACAAACTTTCAACTTATAAAATAATCACACCAGCGGATTACTTACTTACTCACACACACACACACACACGCACACACACACACACACACACACACACACATATATATATATATATTATGAAATGGACAAAGTCCGACATTTATTTAAGACATTTTTTGCTTAAAAACAGTAAAATCGACCTTGCTAGCTGAACAATGCTCTGTGGTCCAATCGGTTAAGACACGCCAGACTATATTCGTATAGGGTACAAGTTCGAATCCTATCGGAGGACGCAAATTTTTTATGAAAATTTCTCGCACATTCAAGCCGGTAAACGTTGTTAATACTGTTTATTATTAACAGAGCATTTACTTAAATATTTGTACGTATAAACATAAAAAAAATGTCTCATATATATATATAAGATAAAAGTTCTGGGACACATAACGAGAATGGAGGACTTGGAGAATCTGATAATCACAGAGCGGATAGAAGATAGAGACAAGGAAAAGCAATGCATGACATACCCAGCGGGCTTGAGCAAATGGATGACAGAACAGGGTTTGGGAGAAGAAGCAAAAGGAAAAAACAAGGAGAAGTGGAGAGCCATTATCGCCTACGCCCTGAACGGACACGGCACATAAAAGAAGGAGGAGGTTAAATGATATTTACCACCCCGCCCTCGCCTTCAATATATCCTGCGTATGCGAAATTCTCCAAGCCTTCTTTCTACATTACGTGTCCGGGAATTTTCAGTTGCCCTATTCTGATTCTAAACACAAGATTTTTTTTTCCATATTCTTCTGAAAGCTTCCTTGTTGCTCGCATGTTCTGTCCCTGGTATTCTCAGCATCCTACATTTGATCTACTCTCAGAGAAACAATAAGGTTTCCGCTTTGCCAGGTCTACTGCTGATATGCTTACGGCCATAACTAAATATGTATACCAAGCTTTTGTTAATAATGGTGAAACTAGAGTTGTTGCCCTAGATACATCGAAGGCGTTTGATGACAGGGTTTGACATGCCGGCCTTCTACGTAAACTTCACGGATATGGTATTACAAGACGATTATTTGATTTAATTCAGTCATTCCTGTCTAACCGTGACATGAAGGGTCTCGTGAATGGGTTCTCTTCCAGTACCTTTCATACGAACGCTGGTGTTCCTGAAGGCTATATCTTTGGTCCTACACTGTTTCTGATCTGCATCAATGATCTTCTTAATGTCATCAATCCTTAATTCTTAAGTAGGCATCTACGCAGACGACACTACCATTTATTTCTGTTTCAATAGCAAATCCGGCATTGATGACAAAGTTAATCTGGCCGTTGGTCTCGAAAATGACCTCCAATCTATTGATGACTGGGGCAGGAAAGGACTAGTAAATTTTAATGCATCCAAATCGAAACTGCTGTCATTTACTCACCGTAGAGAAACGTCCCTGCCTCCTATAAGATGCTCAACATCACTAGAGCGCCACACTGCGCCTTCTTGATCTCACGCTTTCCACTGACCTGATGTGTAACAACTACATAGAATCAATAGCTGCATCTACCGCAAGGAAACTTATTATGGGAATAAAATGTCGCTGCCGGCACTTAAGTAGACCATAGAGAAAAAGCATAGGTAGAAGGTAGCTCGACATCTAAACAATCGCTATTTCTCGTCTATCCTCTATAGCATACGGATCGTTATCTCTAGTCTATCCTTCATTAATATTTGGACCGGTTCTTCGGCGTCTGACACCAGTATTGTTCTACGGCGTATTATAGTTGTATCTGCGATTACAAAGTCTCTGCTACAACGAGCATTACGAAAGTGACAACGGGTATTCGTTGACACCGCAAAAACTATATAGGCTTAAGGAGTCCTTTTTGTCGCAGTTGGTTAGGCTAGCGTACCATTATGAGAACAGTTGTAGATGGCTGCTGGCATACAAGTCGATATTTGAAACTGTGCCGTAGGAGAGGCTTTTTTCTCGTCTGAGTCCATCCTTCACATCTACAAATCTACCATTTGTCCATGCATTGAATACTTTTGCCATATATGGTCTGGTGCCCCCACTGTTCATCTCGAGGTCCTCGACATAATTCAAAGACGGATCTATAATGGGATCAGTCCTGACTTGGGATGTCGATTACAGTCGCGTGATGTGGCTTTCTTCTGTCTTTTCTACAAATGTTTTCATGGTAACAAGCTCTGAAGATCTATTTTCACTGGTGCCCCGACTGCATGAATTTAAGCGTTCTACTAGGTTGGCATCTCGGTCCCACACTTTTAGTGTCGAAACAGTTAAATGTAGCCGCCACTTCTATTCCAACAGCTTTTTTCTCTCGCACTTCCCGACAGTGTAACTCCCTTCTTCTTACTTGATTCCCTGATAACTATAATCTTAAAAACTTTAATGTAATCTCAATCGACATCTTCTGTTGCCTTAATCCCCGTTTCTTCTTGTTATCCTTTCCTCAATCCTCTCTATACGCGATTTTTTCTCTTACTTTCACTCTCTGTAACCCCTTGCGTACTAGTAGCACTCTCGCCTTTCTTCGGGTGAAATGCTTATAAAAAAATCTCTGTTGAGTCATGACAGCTTTTCATCTGTGACGAAATCCTCTTGCATTCACTCTCATATGGGAAAAGTGTTATTACATAGTAGTTCAGCATTCTTTCTTTTGTTTCTTACGAAATTACCACGTCCCTTAATATTTTCCTTGGATTTTGGAAGCTATTTATCGAAATGCCAACGCACCGTGGAGTTTTAGTTCTGCTATAAGGCCACAATAACAAGTGCACTTATCGCTATGCGACGTAAATCTTTTTAAGTGGAGTTCTAAGAAACCTATTTCGTTTGAAAGCAACAGATCTTAATAACTTTTAAAACTAAGTACGTTTTTAGCCGTTTCCTCGTTTTTAAAAGTAAAATGCTAATGAAAAGGAGAATTGAATTACAGCTAATCATATATAAAAGGATTTTGCTAAGAAACTGCATCGCATATGTACAGGTGGAGATAATTCGGATTACAACTGAGTCAAACGTTCTCGAGTAATATTATGGAGAAGATGGAACAAATAGAAACCATTAAAAAAAAATAGAAACATCGTAAATTATAAGGCCGAACGCTATTGAGAAAGGGCCTGGAATGCTGACAAGATCAAGTGCATGAGGGTAATGAGTATGGCGCTGCAGTATGACGCCGGGCGTCAACAGTAGCGACAAGAAAATGATGAAAAATTGAGAGACCTTGTTGATACAATTTGATGAGGATCAAATATCACAGATAATAAAAGCGCAATAAATTTTTTAGAAGAAATGTAACAAAAGCAGAAAGAAAAATAATTAAAACGACGGCGTACGAAGAAAAAAATTTATTGATTGAATCGCTAAAATATTTCTCACAAAATAAATAAAGACAATGAATAGATAGATGGACAGACAGGCAGATAGATATTATAGATAGATAGATAGATAGATAGATAGATAGATAGATAATGAGCAGGCTAATAGATAGATAGATCTAGCTATCACAGTCTGTTTTTTATATATCTAACTATCCCAGTTTGTCTATCTATCTATCTATCTATCTATCTATCTATCTATCTATTAGCCTGTTTATTATCTATCTATCATATCTATCTATCTATCTATCTCAGCCTGTTTATCTATCATATCTATCTATCAACCTGTTCGTTATCTATCTATCTATCTATCAGCCTGTTCATTATCTATCTATCTATCTATCAGCCTGTTCATTATCTATCTATCTATCTATCTATCTATCAGTCTGTTCGTTATCTATCTATCAGCCTGTTCATTATCTATTCATCTATCTATATCAACATTTTTTAAATTATCTATTCTATCTATCTATCTATCTATCTATCTAACAGCCTGTTCATTATTAATCTATCTATCTATCCATCGTTATCTATCAACCTGTTCGTTATCTATCATCTATCTATCTATCTATCTATCTATCTATCTATCTATCAACCTGTTCGTTATCTATCATTTTATTTATCTATCTATCTATCTATCTATCTATCTAATATCTATCTATCTATCTATCTATCATACCAGGGATAGAGCGCATCAAAATATAAAATCAGCAAGATTTTGTTTGTTCATGTTATCTATATATCTAAAAATCATCTTAAGTAAATAGACAAATAAATTAAAACAAAACATCAAAATAAAGCATTAAAGTGTATGTAACTTATCTATCTATCTTCACAGGCTGTTCATTACCTTCTATCTATCTATCTGTCGGTGTCCCAGAGTACCTTCACATAGTATTCACTATGAATTCACATTTTCATTGTAACTGTTCGGATGAGAATTTTGCCATGGTACATAGACATTTTTAAATTTAAGCGCGGTACAATTGATAATTTATTTGATTTTGTCTTCACGATCTTGTGTAAACAATTGACTTGCCCAGTTGAGTTGGAACGAAAGCTGGCTTAAATATAACCCTAAGATGGACAATTTTTTCTGGATTTTATACTAATAGTTTCTTTTCTCACACTCTGCGCTCGTGGAACACCCTTCCAGTTCCAAAAATTTAAATACAATGTTAATCGCTATATACTATCCTCCTGATTACTCTTTTATCTTCCTCCTCATTATTAATATTTCTGTTCCTAATTCTTTCACACGCCATAACCTCTTGTGTTTCAGTGACATTTCTTTTTGCTGAAATAGATTTGCTGTGATAGATAGATAGATAGATAGATAGATAGATAATAGTCTGTAGATAAAATATCTGAAATAGATCTGTAGATAGATAGATAGATAGATTTATTTCTGAAATAGATTTTTGTTTATCTGTCTTTATTGGATAGAAAAGTACTCAATGAACAGACTGTAGATAGATAGATAGATAGATAGATAGATAGATAGGATAGAGAAATAAACATCAGAAAATATAAAATTGACATTAGATAGGAGAAATAGATTGGCAATGAACAGACTGTGATAGATAATAGAAATAGATAGATAGATTTATTATCTAAAATAGATTTAACAGACTATAGATAGATAGATTTTGAGTGAAAAGATTGAATGAACAGACTGTAATAGATAGATAGATTAGATAAGAGATTTAATGTATGAATCTGAATTTTAATGAACAGACGATAGATAGAGGAATAGATAAAAAGAAGATTTAATAGGGGTTAATAAAATTAACCAGTATTAGCAATAAAATTGAGGAATGAAGCTATTAGAAAGAGGTTACGAGGTTGTTGGTTCGAGTGTTCCCTGTAGAAATTATATTCTCTGAGTAAACACAAATCCCTGTTTAATCCCTCAATGTGTTATATTATTTTGAAAATATATTTCAACTCAGACCTGCTTTTTTCATTTCGGCTGTTGAATGAAAATGCTAAAAATCACGTATCTGATTGTCATTAACGCTATGAAACTGTTAACACTTTTTTCACTGAATCAAAGTAGTGAATTTCCCCCTCACTCCATGCGATCAAAACGGAAGAGTCTCTTATTTATGCAGTATTGACAAGAGACGTCTTCCCTTTCTTTCTTTTTTTTTCTTTCTTTCAATTTTTCACTGAAGCTTAGTCGTGTCTTTTTCCCACCTTTCCACGCGGAATAGTCCATTATTTATGAGTTATTGGCCAGAGACGTTAAACGTTTGTATCTTCTCTTCTTTCGTTCTTTATTTCAATTTATCATTGAAACCAAGTAGTGTCTTTTCTCGTCTTTACACGCGATGAAAACGGAATAGTCCATTATTTATGAAACACTGGCAGGAGACGTTGAACACTTCTGTCTTCCCTTCTTTTTGTTGTTCTCTCATTTTCGGAAGTCATACAGTATCTTTTCCCCCTTTTCCACGTGTAATAGTTCAATATTTATGAGTTATTGGCAAGAGACGTTAAAGACTTCTATCTCCCCTTTTTTGTTTGTTTCTTTCTTTCTTTATTTCATTTTCTCAATAAAAAAAAACAAGTAATATCTTTTCCCCTCTTTTCCCAAAGAATCGTCGATTATTAATGAGGTACTGGCAGGAGGCGTTACACACTTCTGTTATATCTTTCTTTTCTTTTCTTTTCTTTCTTTTTTTCTTTCTTTTCTTTCTTTTTCTTTTTCTTTATCTATCTATGTCTGTTCATTATCTATCTATCATTTTATCTATTTATCAATTGTTCATCTATCTATCTCGGTTTGTTTATCTATCTATCTATCTATCTATCTATCTATCTATCTATCTATCTATATATATATATATATATATATATATATATATATATATATATATTGTAACAAAACACACACACATATATGATAAAAATAATATAGATTTAGGGCATGTTTTATTTCTGGGTAAAAGTACTCAATATTAGGAAAAATGTGTAGGCAAATATAAAAGTGGATATAGAGATCAACACCCATACGCGACAGCCTGTTTTATGCTTAAAGGCAATCTTCTGATCATGAAGATTGCGTTTGAGCATGAAATAAGATTATTTATTTTTGGGTGTATGTGTGAAAAAATTCAGATCGGAAAGCAAAATAAATGGATTAATTAATTAAATAGACAAAATAAATTAAAATAAATAAATATATCAAAATAAATAAATAAAAATTACATCAAAAATCAACAGTAACAACAACGTTATAGTGTATGTAACTTAGTGTCATCGATAATACCTTCACATAGTAACATTAAATATTATATCTTCACGCGGTACTTTCACATAGTACTTTCACTGTGAGTTTTATAATATTTCTTTCCTTCTTTCTTTCTTTATAAATGAAACGCAATAAAATATTAATAGTTATAACAAACAATAAATAGGACATTTATAATATGTGATAGAAGCTTTGTTCATGACGTAGATCTTGTTAGACACAATAAGAATCTAACAACAACTAATAATAAAATAGAATTAACAATTACAGCCATATATTGTCATAAAATCTATATGAAGAACTAGCAGCATGGCCCGGCGTTGCCCGTGCTTGATTCAAAAATCGTACGACTCATACAGCAATCGCTATCACTTGACTTAAAATATTTTTAGCCTTCCTTGCCTTTCAAGGAGTGCCCTTTGCCGTGCTGATGTTGCTATGCCTTACTTCTTGCCTATCTCACACTGCGAATTTTTTCGAAGCTCTATACTAAACATTAAATCTGTTTTGAAAAAAGAACTAAACAAAATGAACACAAAACGATCAGCTTTAAAAAAGGACTCCGATTTGAAAACATTTTTCACACCCAACCCAGTTCTGCGGAATCATAATCAACGTTGAGTTCAACAAGCGAATGAAGTGCCATGCAGATTTAAATTTTCCCACTTGAATTTTCTCGCTGAAACTAAGCAGCGTCTCTTTTCCTCTTTCCACACAGACGAGTCAATTATTTATAAGGTATTGTAAGGGCGTAACCTTCATAAGAAGTTCTCTTAGGAACTAACAAACGGAAAGACAAGCACTTTTGTTAATAAAAATAATCATAGCAAAGGGCAAAAAAGTGGGGGCAGCAAAGTGTAGAAAATGGTAATGGAATTCCGGGCATTTTCAACTTGATTTTTAATGGAAATATTTCCATTCTCAGTTTAACATAAAAGGAATAAATAGGAAGGAAAAGAGAAATATATGAAAAAAAAAATAATGAAAAATAATTTTAGGAACACAACACAGGCTTACAAAATAAACATGTATGAACTATCTAACATATATATATATATATATATATATATATATAATGAAAAAATAGAATGTTTGTACCGGCCATCTTTCGAGAAATTTTTAGAAAATATGCGTCCTTCGACAGGAAGCCAACGTCATATAGCCAGATGTGCTTTTATTAGCAAGGTCGATTTTACTGTTTTTAAACTACAATTCTTCAAACTTTTTCCCTCGTACATTCATATATCTGCTCGATGCATATCAAATGTAAACAAAAAAAACAATTATTTTAAGACATTTTTATACATTTTTTATAGCCATTGTTAATATATATATATATATATATATATATATATATATATATATATAATAAAAGGCAATTGTAAAATAATTTTTAGTCCTTGGCGACGCGTTTCGTCAAACTGACTTTATCAAGGCAAGTTTAAAAGCGAATGTTTGTAGATATATCAAATTATATATATGAGTTTGCTCATATCTATTTGTTTGCATTTATTTGAAAATAAATTAGAAAACAAATGTTTGTTTATCCCGAAAACAAACACATAATATTTGTGTATTCGGTAATTTTTTACTTTGAAGGACCTTAAACAATTTCAATCGCACAACCAATATTAACTTACGGCCATATAACGTTGAAATTAATCTCGTGTATTTAGATGGGTCTTGAAAAAGGTTCTGTGCGGGTGAAAATGGTTAATTATAAATAAAAGTTAATTCGCTTTGAGTTCGTTATATTTACTTAAGAACAAACACCCTTGGAAAAAATATGAATCCAAATCTTCTCCCTTAAGCTATGGGTTAATTAGTAAGGCTTGTAACACTAAAACCATTGTTATTACTCACCCGAACAAAAACTAGAATCTACAAATATTTTGACTTAAATATATATATAGAAAACGGATGAATTAACCAATATTCTTGAAAATGGCTAAGTGATTATTGCTCATGAAGAATAATCATTTGAACAGTGTCTACCTAATCCCCAAAAGGAATCCCCATACATTACATTGGAAGTCATTTTAAACATGTATTTGAAAGGGTTTACTGCCCAAATACATAACTAATATATATATATATATATATATATATATATATATATATATATATATATATATATATATATATATATATAATAAGAAATGGATGGATTTCATCGGACTGGGTTTTGCTGATGTTGTCACGTCTGCACATGCGCACGAAACGAAAGACGCTTTTAGTTTAAAAAAAAATTTAAATAATTTTTTGTTTTGAAGAATATTTTTCAATTTTCTTTCAAATTGTGACAACAAAAATCTAAGAATGGTGATATATTAAAAGCCTGGAGCTAAATTTGACGTGGTTGAACTAGAGATCAAGGCAGTTGCAGACATTTTAGCCTTAGCAGATTATTCAAAGTAGCATTTTATATGCCA